CTCTATTTGTGTTACATAAACTTTTCTTTATTCCTCCGCCAGTCAGAGCCGGAGGAATATCGTTTTCAGGTTGTCTGTATATCGTGGACGTGATATCTCAGTAACGCCTCAATGGAACTTCTTCAAATTAGGCACAAACATTCACTAGGACTCAAGGATGAACTGATTAGATTTTGGTGGCTAGAGGTCAAAGGTCAAGGTCACAGTGACCTCACAGAGCATGATTTTGGCCTTGTGAGCGCAGTATCTGCAGAACTCCTCAAGGGAATCCCTTCAGATTTGGCATAGATTTCCACTTGGACTCAGGGACGAACTGAGTAGACTTTGGTAGTCAAAGGTCAAAGGTCAAGGTCACAGTGACCTCAGAAAACACTTTGTCGCCATCACTCAACACAGTAATTATGACAAAATTTCACACAAATGGTCAATATTTTATATGATTGTGGATAAACAGGGATGCAACCTGAAAGTCTGAAAGTCTGAGTTGGCGGAGGGAAACAACTGCCAGGCGAGATTTGTAGTTTTATTATGAAATATAAAGAAAGAAGGAAGAAACAACAAGAACAAATGTATGAATGTATATTTGACATGAAGATGACAAAAATATTTAAAAAAAAAAATACAAAAACTAAAATATAAAAATCTTCTTTTTGGTTGTTGTTTGTGCTTTTACTGATAAATCACATATGTCTGTGTGTAGGTGGGGTGGATCTTGTCTACTCTAGATGAGCTGCAGATGAACCCCCAGCCCCCGGTCGCTGTTCTTCCTCTGGGAACAGGAAATGACCTCGCCAGGACGCTCAACTGGGGCGGGGTGAGTTCCTAGCCTTGACTTGTGGCTCAGAGTTGACGGAGAGCGACAGGATGTGGCAGCCTCTCCTCCCTGTATTCATTCATCCACAAGTGCCTGTTTTGTCTGTTTAATGACTCTGAGGTCGGATTATTTACCCACATTAAAATAAGTCAGATCAAAGGCTAGGGCTTATTGCAGCTGGAAAATTATGTTATAATATAATTTAAAAAAAAAAAAAATGAAATGGCACCAACAATGGCAGCACTTAGAATATAAAACATCAATAAAAAGTGATATATATATAAAGTATATATGAAAAATAATATTCGCACAGTATCTAAATGAAAAAGTCTAATAAGAATGTGTAAATAAATATATAAGTGAATGTGTTAAATTTGGACCAATATTGATATGCAGTCAAGATAAATCCAGTATTTATCTCTCTGAACTACAGAAACTCATCCTCCAGGAAGAGTGTGAGCGCTTCACTTCCTGTGTATCATCCTGACATTTAACCACCGTCTGACCCCGTCAAAACACAACACGTCAAGGAAAGATGACACAGTTGTTGTTGAACACTGCAGTGGCTTTGTTGGAATGAAACACAAGTATTAGTTTCAGTAGTTGTTTTGTTTTATTCAGGGCAGGTTTAATTATATAGAACAAACGAGTAAGTTGCAAATTGTTTAGAAATCCATAAATTTAAAGGAGTTGTTTATACATTTTCTCTTCCGCCAAACCTGGTTTCTTGATGGGAGCGGGTGGCGGCGATTTGTTTACAAGACCAGAGGTTATAATACGTCCTCTGAGCGGCGCTTCGTCTTCGTCTAAAGTTACTCGCTATCAGAAAGGGACGAGGCTAGTTGGTTAGCATGCTAACTTCAGTAGAAGAAGAGAAGCGACGGGGAGTTAACGCTGGTGTTGCTTTCCACCTCTGGAGACAGCTGTTGGTGAGTAAAGGAGTGAAGTTTGATGCTGAACTCGCAATGTTTCTCTTCTAGACTGGTAAATAAACAGCTGTTAATGCTAACGTTAGCTATGTAGCAATTGCAAAACTTACAAATAGCTCCTTTAAATAGCCACTCCGCTGATTTTGTGTCAGTTGTATCAGGTCGTCTGTGGCTCTGGAGGGAGCTTCACCCAGCTGAGGTCATGTTGGATCGGGGTTGAGCAGGGAAATGTTTGGCAAAATCCCCCTCTCTTATTTTTTATTAGCAAAGAGCATTGTTGGAAACATGAAGGTAACGTAAGCAGCCTCTCATTTACAGCTGGCGCTGACTGTCCCTCTCTCCAGTCAGAGCGAACGACGTCAGCGGTGGTAGATTCTATCAGCTGTAGCTAATTAATGTTCATTCTGTAACAATTCCAGTGAAACTTCAGTCTGTTGGTTCATGTGCTCTCTCCGAGCAGCTTACTCAACTCTGCCAAATATGGTTTGTGATTAAAGAGACTCGTCAATCTGTAGCATCTCTCTGCGCCCGCTAGTGAACTGTGATCAGCTGATCGCGGCTCGTTAAACACGGCAGAGTCCCACTTCAACTCTTTATGCATCAAATCAATATTTTGAGCTCATTAAACTCAGAGGGTCCGTTATTAAGATCAAAGAGTTTGTGAAAAATCAGGAGCAAAAGTCAGTATGTTCCAGCTGTTATTTCAGAACGATCAATATCAATCAATAATCAGTATTTAATCAGTATCTGCTGCTGCTCATTTTCAGGTTGTGAATTATTTAGGCTCCATTATTGTTAATGTTCATTAATTTAGTTGCTACCACTAAAACACTGGAGGTGTGGAGGGAGTTTCTAATGGAATACGTTATCCTGTTGAATTATGGGAAATGTAGGATCCAGTAATCGATCCACCTCCGATTGTGATTGGGGTTTTTTTGTTTTTTCTTTCTCTCTCACTTTCTTTTTAATCCATCTGTTGTTACGTCCTCCAACTTTACGGAGGCGTAGCACTAAGTTGCTGAAGTGGCCTGAAGTTGAATTTAAAATAAATATATATATATATATGTATAATTCACCATTCCTCTTCAGGAAGGAGGATGCAGCTGCAGGTTTCTTACTAAGATGAGGCGAAGTGCTGAAGCATCAACAACCTACCCCCTGACACACACACACACACACACACACACACACACACACACACACACATTGCATAACTGTACTGCAACAGAGAAGAAGAGACCTTTTACGAGCACCCACATCCTTCCATTAGGCTTTTCTTTAGACCAGTTATGTGGGCTTGTAGCGATGATAATACATCGCACATCTCGCCGCTGTTGGTCAAAAGTCTGAAAAAACCTGAAGTGGTGTTTAATTTTTATTTCATTTTAGTTCCCTGATAATATCAAACATTTTCTCGAATTATTTCACAATCTCTTTAAAAACATGTTATCTTCATCCGTTACACTAACTGTCTTAATTTAATCTTAAAGAAAAGATTTAAATTAACAGTTATTTCTTCATCTGCTGAATCTCCACATGACAACAATTCATTTATCTGAGTGAAAACGAAGCTGTGATGACGCTAATCGTTTCATGTGCAGTCTGCCTGCACCGTGTCGGACGATGAACCAAGGGCAAGTGAATGACTTTGGCATCTCCAGCAGAACAGTGTAGAAAACTTCCTGATGCAGAGAGATGAAGATGCTTTGAACAAAGATGGCAGAGGCCGAGTGAAAATTCATATCTACCACGTGTGTAATTAGTGTAATTAGTGTAATTAGTGCGTCCCTTCTGTCCTCTGTTTCACCGGGTATTTCGAACCGCAGGATTTTTTTAATCCACTTTGTCTCTGTTGCTCTTTAGCTTTCCTTTCTCTTTCCCTTTTTCCTTTCCTTTCCTTTCCTTTCCTTTTAATTTTTCCAACCCCTTTCCCTTTTCTCTGTCCTTCCCTATAAGGAAGACTCCTTACCTTCCTCCCCTTCTTTCCTTTAGTTTGTTGTTTATGCCCCCATTAAGTTTTCTTTTCTATTTAAATCTTTTTCTTTCTTTCATCTTTCCCTCTGACCCCACTTATTTTTCTTTCCTTTCCATTCATTTGCTTTCCTCCCTTTTCCCTTTCCTTCTCCCTCTTCCCACTGACTCCTTTTCCTTCCTTATTTTTTCCTTTTCATTTCCCTCCCCCCTGTTTTCTTACCTTTTCCTTTTCCTCCTTCCTCATCTCCTTGTGACTCGCTTCTGTTACCAACCACTGCATCTGCCCGACCTCCTCCCCATCCCTCTCTGTGTGAGTGTGAATGTCCTTGTGACTTGCTGCGTGTGTGTGTGTGTGTGCGTGTGTGTGTGTGTGTGTGTGTGTGTGTGTGTGTGTGTCACTTGGTGCAGTCACTGACTTTCTGACCTCCAAAGGGAGAAAATAAAAATGTGATGGAGGGAAGAGGAGGAAGGTAGAGATGTACTATATACTATGTTTATATATATAAATATATAAGTATATATAATAATACATGCTGTATGTCTCTGTCTGTGTTTGTGTGTGTCTCTGCAGGGTTACACAGACGAGCCGGTGTCCAAGGTGTTGTGTCACGTGGAGGACGGGTCAGTGGTGCAGCTCGACAGGTGGAACCTTCTAGTAGAGAAAAGTGCAGTCCAGCCAGAGGAGGGCACACAGAAGGTGAGACACCGGTTGCTGTGTGTGTGTGTGTGTGTGTGTGTGTGTGTGTGTGTGTGTGTGTGTGTGTGTGTGTGTTGGTGCTTTAATCACATTGTTGTGACATACAAAAGGTTTTAATATCTATCTATCCTTTTTTTATATGATATTATTGTATTGTTTGATTCAGTTATAAGTGATTCTGCCACTGAACAGCAGTTTTATTTGTCACGTGAGAAGGTAAAATGTACAGTAAGCAAAGCGGGGAAATGACTCAGCAGAAAGACCAAGAAAAAGAAAATCAGCATATCAATCAATATTATGAGAAATATTGCATATGGTGGGAATAATTGCGATATTCGATGTTATTGAATATCATAAAGGAAGGTCCAGTGTTTCCTCTGCTAAAGGAGATGAGATAGGAAGCGTTGAAGCTCCTTTCCTTATCATTTAGAGAATTGGACCAGCTCTCATCATGGCTGCCGCTCAGATACTGCAGAGTCATTTCACTCAGTTTGTACAGTCCTGTTGAGTTGGGACGAGATGGATGAGAATCACTGGGTGATGAGAGGCATGAGGGGGCTCAACCAGGATACGAGCTGTCCTTGTATAACTTTTATTCTAATGCACTCACTTCGTGTTCTTTCCTGCGTCCTCAGCTGCCTCTGAATGTGTTCAACAACTACTTCAGCCTGGGCTTCGACGCTCACGTCACCCTGGAGTTCCACGAGTCCAGAGGTCGGCGAAAGCTATTTTAATGTTGTTTCACTCTGTGTTAACTCTATTTATATTCCATTAAGTCTTTCTCTCTCTCTGCTGTTAATGCTCCGCACTCCACTGTTGTAGAGGAGAGATGAGCATGATGAAAAACCAAACACTCAGATACAAACATGCACATTCATGCGTGCACAAATGAGTCAGATTTTTCTCACCCCATTACTTAACGCCTCCCTCTGTGTTTTATTTTATTTTTTTTTGTTGTTGTATTTTTTCATTTTTTATTCCACTATCATCGCAGCGCATTTAATGTATTCTCCTTCCTTCTCTCTGTGTCTGTGATTCTGTGTTTCCAGAGGCCAACCCAGAAAAGTTCAACAGTCGCTTCCGCAACAAGATGTTCTATGCAGGAGTGAGTGTCCCACTTGACTTGTTAGACACACACACACACACACACACACACACACACACACACACACACAGAGTCTCATGAAGCCTAAACTTTCCTCACACGTGTGAAGTGTGTTGCGAGAAAGATGGCTGAAAGGAAATAGTGGAGAAGGAGAGTTAGGGGGATGAGAGATGGAGGAGCTGGAAGACATAAAAATCAAGCACAGGAAGTGCAGATGAAAGGAAAATAGAAAACCTGCGAGAGAGAGAGAGAGAGAGAGAGAGAGAGAGAGAGGACGTGAAGATGAAGCAGGATGACTGTTTTTAAATAGTAAAACTATTAAAAGTCGTGTTTACGGTCATAAGTCTAGTTGGAAGTGGCGTTATCTTGCTTTTTAGATGAATAATGAACAGTGTCAGCAATGCAAGTAGATCTGTGTCCCATGTGCTTCAGTGAACATTCAGACGTCATGGTTTTCAATAATTCATTTTGACCTTTTACTCTGCTCTTGTTCTGGTGTAGTTTGTTGAATTTCTGATTAGCAGCGCTCAATTAGGAATTCAGTGTTTCTCCAGCTTGTTAGTTATGGGGTTGTTGAACTGGTATGATCCAAATTTAGAGCTTCAACAAATATTAAATGTAGTTTTTTGTTTTTTCTTTTTTGGAAGCTGCAGATTCTGTGAAGGATGTGAAGTGGAAGGGAGAAATGATGGGCAGGAGTTGGAGAGGAAGCATGTAGCGGAGTTATCTCTTTTTAATGAGGGAAATGTAATGAACTGTAATTTTGTTTGATTGAGCCCCATTCTCTCTGTGTGTGTGTGTGTGTTTGTGTGTGTGTGTGTGTGTGTGTGTGTATGTGTGTGTGTGTGTGTGTGTGTGTGTGCGTGCAGGCTGCATTCTCAGATTTCCTCCAGAGAAGCTCCAGGGATTTGTCCAAGCACGTCAGAGTGGTGGTGAGTGTTAACACACACTCTCTCTCTCTCTGAGTCCGTATCGTTTTCCATGTCGACATGTCTGGGCAGCAGGTCGGCCGGGTGATTAAAAAACACCGTCCTTCAGCCGCTCCTTTTACATCCGCCTCGCTCATGTGTCCTTCAGCAAGTCACTGAAACCCTGTCAGCGCCGCTGCTCTGTCACTGACCCTGACCTCTGACCTCCATGATAAACATGAAATAACTTTCTTTGCTAACAAGCAACTAGCGACCGTGCTAATTACATATTTTGTAGCTTAATGTATATTCAGAAAATGTGTTGACCAACCCACAGACTATAAATAAAGATGGACGTAGCCTCCGTGACATCACCCACGGGTTTCCGAAGAGAGGTTTTGAGGCTCAGAGTGAGCTGCTCCGCAGTCGCCATCTTGGCAGTGCCTGACTCCGCCCCTAACTCCCAGCTAATCCAAAAGTAGGCAAAGAGGAGGGGCGTGTGTGGAGCCGAGACTTCAGTGCAAGCATACGTTCACCCACCTGTCACTCAAAGAGTTCACGCCCTCAATTATTCATAAATTTAAGCCTTAATTAAAAATAGAAAAGAAATTAGCTCTAGAGACCAAAACAGTTTAGTACCAGGCTGTAAACATGTTTATTTCTGCTGTAAAACATTTTAACATGGGAGTCTATGGGGATTGACTCACTGTTGGAGCCTCAAGTGGCCATTGGAGGAACTGCAGTTTTAGCACTTCATTAACTCACCTGCTTCATCTGAAACCTGTTCAAACACGCGACTTAATTTTACTCATAAAAGATATAAAGCTGTTCATATTTATTTATTTATTTATTTTTAACCCTATTTCTACTGAAACTTTTTTTTTAATTCTCAGAATCAGAATCAGAACACTTTATTGATCCTGAGGGAAATCAGGTTAGGTTACAGTTGCTCCCTCAGCAAAGAGAAGAGAATAGGAAGTAGATTATAAAGATAAAGATAAAATACAATCATAAAATATACGAATGCTATAATATAAAAATAATAATATAATATTATATTTTAAAGATTTTACACACAAATGTATTTTTCTAAAAATTCATATGATTAAAGGACTTGCAACAATGTTCATAAAGAATTAACAATATGGTAAATATAGGGTAAATACTTGTGTCTGATTGGCTGCTCCTGATTGGCTGCTCCTGATCACCTGAGAGTTCATAAAGGTTCCTCCTTGGTGAACGTCCCTTGATAAAAATATTATATTATACACAAACAGACCCAGAGATACAGTTCTGGGCCGGTGTGAAGTGGCAGCTCCTCTGTCTCAATTACTTTCCTCCTCCCACATCAAGACAGGTTTAAGAGCGGCGGTGAGAACTTTGAAAGTGAGAATGTAAAACTGAGAGTGAAGCTTGAAGCTGCAGGTAAAAAAGCAAGTGAAGGATGTGAGATTATAAATCAGTTGTTGTCAATAGATGAATGCACTTTTAGCTGCGGTCCAACATGAATAACTCTCTCCCTCTTCCTCAGTGCGACGGTACAGATCTAACCCCCAAGATCCAGGAGCTGAAATTCCAGTGCATTGTGTTTCTAAACATTCCCAGGTAGGTGAACACACGGCGGCTTCTTCTTCTCTGTCTTATTACTGGAATCTATCTGGAAGTTAGAATCAGTAAAAGACATAAAATCCATTTTATCCAGCAAAGACGTGAGTCACACAGTTTGGAAAGTGACTAATTTCATTAGATTATAATGTGAAGTTTTTGCCATTATACTGCATGTCTGGCTGCCTGTTATCATCAGTATCAGTATCATCTGTTGCAGCATGTTTCAGTGATTCATTTTGATGCCCAAGGTTTCCACATCATTTTAATTATTCACTTGTTTCATGAGACACTCAGCTCTCTGATGAACACTGGACTTATAAACTTCCTTTAAGTTCTTTATGAGCTCCGTCAGGCAGGGACAGGAGGTCTCACTCTGTTTTGTTCTCTGACTCAAATCCTCCCACACCAGCCTGCAGTTACAACATCTCTCTGGTCAGACGTTAAAATAATGAGAACGCGCTCAGCACCTGCGATCAGGCAGAAGTCTCCATCGTCATGAGAGGAAGATGATTCTGACATTAAAGTTGTTCTGATGTTGCATATTTGCCTTTTTGTTTGTGTGTGCAGGTACTGTGCTGGCACCATGCCGTGGGGAAACACAGGCGACCACCGGGACTTTGAACCCCAGCGTCACGACGACGGCTGCATCGAGGTTATCGGCTTCACCATGGCTTCGCTGGTGAGAGAAACTTGGGGTTAATCAGAAAGGGATGAAAATAAATGCAGTTAACATGAGAAACAGCAGAGAGGAAACACGGTTGTAAACCTCCCTCTCGTCCACCAGGCGGCGCTACAGGTCGGCGGTCACGGAGAGAGACTTCACCAGTGCAGGGAGGTTGTGTTAACTACCTTCAAGACTGTACCTGTTCAGGTGAGCACACACACACTCACCGGCATCACAACCAGCCTCTGAAACTACCACACTACTGAGAGCCTGAAGTTTCCACAACAGCATAAACTGATTCTATCTATAGAAACAAGAGCAGGAGAAGAACATGAGCGTAGAACCAGGAGTAATAGAATACAGATTAATCAATTTCTAAATCTATAATCATCCACGTCAGTTAATCATTAACACAGTCGTCTTTTTCCAAAATGAAACCTCTGACATTACGTTTGTTCGCACCAAAATCAGGCTAAATTAGGGATTTAAAGGTTCAGGTGCCAGTTGCACAAAACACCTTAAGCTTTAAGGTTAAATTTCTCCTTAGCTGAGGGAGTTTACTTAAGGTTGTTGCACAGAATCTCTTAAAAGTTTTCCTTAGTTTTCCTTAGTTAAGGAAAAACCGTTGAGGCATTTGCAGCACTGAAAGAGATTTTACAGCGCTAAAAAGCTACAGTTTCCATGGAGACCATTCGTTCACTGGCGTCGGCGCTTGTGATAGCGGCGAACATCTCACCTGTATCGTCTGATTCGTTAAAAAATGATATTAAGGAAGTGCGCCGCTCTGTGTTAGACCGAGGAGAGGAGAAAACCTTAAATACTTAAGTGAACATTTTAAAGAAACCTTAACTCAGACTTTAAGGAAACTCTTAACTTAAGGTGTTTTCTGCAACTTGCCCCTGATATTTTTAACCTACTAAATTATTACCAGCAGCTCATTGATTAATCACTGACATCCATACTTGTATTGGTATCTTATTGGCATTGATATCAGCCTGTATCCTGATCGCTCATCTCACCGTCAGATACAATCAGCTGACACGAAAACCTGCCACATCACACGATCTGTTCAATTACTGCTTTGTCTTTTATAACAGTGATCCTTGTGTGTGTGTGTGTGTGTGTGTGTGTGTGTGTGTGTGTGTGTGTGTGTGTGTGTGTGTGCGTGTGCGCGCGTGCGTGTGTGTGCGTGCGTGTGTGTGTAGGTGGATGGTGAGCCGTGTCGACTGGCTCCATCCACTCTCCGCATCTCCCTGCGAAATCAGGCCAACATGGTCCAGAAGAGCAAGAGACGCACCTCTGTGCCCCTGCTCAACGAGTGAGTCATTTACACACACACACACACACACACACACACACAGGAACTAGGCCAGCAGTGTTGTAAAAGCCCGGGTTTTGCTCTGAGTCATACAATCTGTTTAGTGGGAGATGACATTCACTCCTCTCAGTGTTCCTCGTCGGCGCCAAACCACATTCGAAGGAGGGACGTGTAACGTTGTCCACTCAGATTAATCAAAACAGATGCATCATGGGTATCTCCAGTGACACAGTGACATGTAACACTGTGTGATTTTCGCTCCTCAGAGGGCAAACACGAGGAGATGTGTATCGATTGTTGTTCCTCCGCGCCGGCGACAATCAGAGCCGGAGGCCATATTGTTTTCAGGTTGTCCGTCCGTCTGTCCCGTTCTCGTGGACACGATATCTCAGTAACACCTTGACGGAACTTAGTCAGATTTGGCACAAGCATTCACTAGGACTCAAGGATGAACTGATTAGATTTTGGGGGTCAAAGGTCAAAGGTTAATGTCACAGTGACCTCACAAAACACGGTTTTGGCCTTGTGAACGCAGTATCTCCGTAATGCCTTGAGGGAATTTCTTCAAATTTGGCACAAACGTTCACTTGGACTCAAGGACGAGCTGAGTAGAATTTTGCTGGCTAAAGGTCAAAGGTTAAGGTCACGGTGACCTCAGAAAAGACTTTTTAGCCATTACTCAAGACTTCACACAACAATTATTTTATATGACTCTGGATAAACAGGGACGTGATGTGAAACTAGTTTAAGTGGCGGAGGGATACAACAGCGGTGCAGTCCTGCGGTCGCCTTCTCTCTAAAAACACTGTTTATATCTGAAACTGTGTTCCCACTAACACTCCTCCATCTTTGTAGACACTAATACTTCTTCATGTTTATCTCTGTGTATAAATGTGGGTCTATTTCCAACTGTGGTAAAGTCTACAAGCTGCAGTCGTCGTGTGCATGAGAGAGGACGAGCAGTAGAGAGTAATGAGCTGTAGCTGCAGTAACCAGTGTCTCTGCTGTGCTGTCTCTGTTTGTCCACTCACCTCTGGGCTTCTCTCGTCTGTCCCTCCTCCTCCTCTTCCTCTTTTTGTCTCGTCTCCTTTCATTCTCACTTCTTCTTTCCTTCAATACCTCTGATGTTTCTGATTATTTGTTATTTTGTTTACATTTGTTTACCTTCTTTGTTTGCTTCTACTTTTGTCTCCTCTCCTCTCCTCCTTTCCTTTTTCTCCCTCTCCTCTCCTCTTATTTCCCGTCCTTTCTTTTCTTTGTCTCCTCTCTCCTTACCTCCTTTCCTTTTCTCTTTTCTTCTACTTGTCTCCTCCTTGTCTCCTTTCGCTCTAATCTCCTCTCTCCTTTCCATATCTCCCCTCTTCTCTTCCTCTGTCCCTCTCTCCTAATCTGTTCTCTCCTTTCCTGTCCTTGTCTCCTCCTCTCTTGCTCTTCTCTTTTCTCTTCCTTATTTTCTCTCCTATCTCATCTCCTTGTCTCCTCCTCTCTGCCATACATTCCTCCTCTCCTCTGTGTGTGTGTGTGTGTGTGCGTGTGTGCGTGCGTGCGTGCGTGCGTGTGCGGCCGTAGTATTCAGAAGGTGTGTGCAGCTGATCTGCGCCGCCTCTCTGCTCCCCCCGACTCCTTCTCTGTGTAAGTACCTCAGCCCTCTGTCACTGTGTGTGTGTGTGTGTGTGTGTGTGTGTGTGTGTGTGTGTGTGTGTGTGTGTGTGTGTGTGTACATGTGAATGAGTCGGTTTCGTGCTGTCTCATGGTTCGACCAATATCTGATTTGATTATACTGATGATATTGAAACCAGTCGGTGTTTGTGATGGATGGATGTTTTAATTATTGATCCGTATCAATAATTATTGATACATGCCATTCATTTAACGGGGAGGGAAACACATCCAGCATGTAATGATGAGTAAAACTGAATGTAAACTCCACAAGGTGCCTTTTAATTTGAAATTTGAACTTCCCACTTTTATTTTCTATGTCACAAATGACCCATTTATCACAAATTATATCAAACTTTCAGGCGAATGTATAATTTCTATATTATAATACCCCAAATTAATTAATTAATTAATTAATTAATTTAATTTCAACATTTGTTTTTTATTTTCAGCATCAGTCTAAACAAATTTGTGTCTGTCGTCTTCAGAAACTCATACTGGTTGAGCCCTAGTTGAGTCATTTTGTGTTAAATGTTTTTGTTGTGTTTGTAAGTAATAAGCAGAGAGAGAGAGAGTGTGTGTGTGTGTGTGTGTGTGTGTGTGTGTGTGTGTTGTGTGTGTGTGTGTGTGTGTCTGTATGGCAGCATGTTGAAGCCTTTCTACCTCTCAATGTGCTTCTTGCTTCTTGTTTAATTGTATTTCCAACTGTAGTCCCTTTAACTTTAACTTGACCCTGAGCTCCGCTCTTTGTTTACGCCTGCGCCGGTCCTCGGCTCTGACGGCTCTGACTCCATGTCCACACCCTCCTTCAGAGAAGCCATTTTCATATTTTTGCGTCTGCTTTGACTGAGAACAATAAACACCACGTTAACGCTACAGCACTTTATTTTGCTCCTTTGCGGGTAAGGTTTTTGAGGCTGGGTCGGGGTGGGGGGGGTGATTTTTGCCGACAGTGACTTTGTGACCAACAGTGTTTTCTCATTGTGCTGTTGTTTATCGCCCACCATGTTTTTGTTGTCTTTCATCAACCTCCATCCTCACTGAAGGCAACGCCGCCCACAAACATTGACTTTACAATGTTGACCCACCTCAAACTCAAACGCAGAATCAGGGGTGTGTCGCAGGAGGACGGCAGAGCTCTTTATCTTCTTCTTTAAGCTCCTGGAGGGATGGTTACTGTTTTTAACAACCTCCAGTTATCAGAAATATATTAGATTTTTAAACTTAAAAAAAACAACAACTTCTCAGCTGTAAATGAAAGTGAAATAAAACGAGAGCGATTGAGGAATTAAATGTGATCATGTTGCAAAAGCTCAGACTCGGTTTGTGACGTGTGCGTCTGTGCGTGTCTGTGTGTGCATGTATGCATACTGTGTGTGTGCGTCCTTATCACTGGATGTTTGGACATGTCTGAATTGCGTGTGTGTGTGTGTGTGTGTTGTTTTTTTCTTTTCTTCTAGTCCTCACGCAGTCCCAGATCGTCTGCGTCTGCGAGTGAACCGGATCAGCCTCCAGGAGTACGACCGACTGCAGTACGACAAAGAGCGGCTGCGAGATATCTGTAAGCCTCTGTGTGTGTGTGTGTGTGTGTGTGTGTGTGTGTGTGTGTGTTCTCTGAAACTGAAATACGTAAAGCTACTCCATTACATATGTTTATGTAAGTAATAATGATAATGTTTGTCTATAGAGCACTTTTCTAAACCCACGTTATAAAGTGTTTTACACAAGGCAGCAAAATGAAACATGCAGGTTAATTAAAACAAGCAATCACACATACAGTTAAAGCGTATTAGTGTTAGTGCAAATAGACCAAAGGGAGTTTCACCAGCAAGAGGGCGATCAGTGAAAATCAATCAAATAAAAAAAATAAAAAGTTGTAAAATCTGGAAAATTTTGCTTTAAGAAGAGATTTAAAAAAAGGTCAGTGATTCTTCTGACCTGATTTCCTCAGACGGTTCATGAGAGAGTTTCGAGGCTCTGACAGTGAAACCTCTGTCACCTCTGGTTTTTAGCCTCAGGAGCAACTAACAGACCTCTGCCCCAGGATCTCAGGCTACGAGCTGCTTCACAAGAGGTCAGATGTAAAACACGGAGAGAGGAGCTTTAAAAGTCAGCAGTAGGATCTTAAAGTCAAGTCTAAAACGTACTGGGAGGGAGGCCAGTGCCAGGAATATAAGTGATGAACCTGTAGATGATTATCACGCGACTCTGCAGCGTTAGCATCCTTAGCTCCCTGTTTTGGTTTTTAGAGCCACAGCTGAACTGTTTTGGATCACTGTGTTGTTTCCAGCTGCAGCAGGCAGATGTTTTCAGGGAAAACAAAGCTAATTTTCCAGAACCAAATCACAGACAGACGTGTGGTGGAGTATTCAGAGACTAAAGAGCCAGATATTTCCCTCAGCTGGTGAAAAGTAAAAAAGAGTAAATATTGGACTTGTATTCATCAGGTGGACACAGACACCTCTCCAGATGAAAGCTAATGTCATGTAAATGAGTTCAACACATCAAGTTAATCTGTGAAACTGTGTTCACTGCTTGTGTGTGCTGCCCTCTAGAGGCCGAAATCAGTTACTGCAGGTTTAACTTTATTCATGTACTATTGTCTAAAGTGTGTGTGTGTGTGTGTGTGTGTGTGTGTGTGTGTGTGTGTGTGTGTGTGTGTGTGTGTGTGTGTTGCAGCCATCCCAGTAGGCATTGTGGTTGTAAGAGGAGACTGTGACCTGGAGACGTGCCGACTCTATATTGACAGATTACAAGAGGCGAGTTTTCTCCTTTATCTTCATCATCATCATCATCATCATTAACAATTATAGCTTTTTAATTCTCTTCTACCTCTTTTCTTTCTTTCCTTCCTCCTCTTCATCATTATTTCATGATGCATGCGGCGCTCTCTGTCACGTGTAGACGGGAGAGCAGAGCCGTTGTTTAGCTGTGTGTCTCACGTCGGGGGAACGTTCACTAACACCGAGTTGACATCTGTGGAAGTTGTTTTTACTGTTCAATGCTTTGGCTGTTTGTTAACCTTGAAACCTGTCTGCTGTGCTTGCTAGGACTTACACCAGGCGCCATCTACTGGCCACAGAGTGCACTATCAGGTATATGACTTTTGGGTGTCTTTCTGCAGGGAACAGTTTGGGTTATTATCAGTTTTTATTATCATACAAGTCTGACTTTTTTTTACAGTGCTTTAAATCTGAGCCATTATTACAGTTATATAATGATAGCTGAGGAATTTACCCACAAACAGAAGCTACATGCAATAAATGAACTGTAGGTTTTACAGACTGACACCCATGTCGAGTTAAGATCCTCTTCTTCAACACTGGAAGTCCTCTTCTATAAACTAATATACAATCAACCAATCAATCAGTCTACCACTAATTTAAATGACACTTCACACTGTCCTCTTGTCCTGATTGTCTCTGTCTTGTTATTAATTGTTGAAACGCTCAAAGATAATAATAAAAATAATTCTTCCCTCTTTTCTTTTAATTTCTCTTTCCTCTGTGAACCTTTTTTTTTGCCTATAGTTTAAAGTCCAGTGACGGGATGATAAAGACATTGTCTGTCTCTTTGTCCCCAGGATGAGACCAGAGGTGTCCCCAGGACCAGCTCATCCAGTAGACTGTCTCCCAACTGGAGCTTCTTGGACTGTGAGTTGACGTAAACACTGACAGATGTTGACAGAAAGGTGATAGAGATGAACTCAAATGCAGATCTTTACATCATTTTTAAACTACATCTGTTCTTTGTGCTCAGTGGGTTCCTCTGTTCACCTGCTACATCCACCTTTACTCACAATTATAACTTTCCTCTTCTTAACATAGTCACAAAATCCCTTTTGAAATAAAATTCTTCAGTAAGAAGTAAAACTAGATAAATGAGATTGTCCAGGACACAAACAGTGAGATCATACAGGTCAGTTTGTTTCATCCTTCTGCTCTGCAGCCACATCAGCTGACCGCTTCTATCGCATCGACAAGGCTCAGGTAAACACTCCTTCATTTGTTTTGGTGCTGAAATGGTTAAAATACGGATCCATGTTTGATTTTTGACTGAAACGTTTCTCGGCCCAACGTTAATGATTTTATTTGCCAGTGTCAGTTCTTATATTTAAATACGTACACACACACACGTTTTCATAGGAGCACCTCCACTTCGTGACGGAGATTTGCCAGGACGAGGTTTTCATCCTGGACCACGAGGGACCTGTGGTGAGCCAGGGGTCGTCCACGGGGATGCCTGATCTGGTGGTGGAACCTACAGCCGGGTACGTCAGCAGACACACAGTTAATCCTTCATTCATTTATCAGATGTGAAGATTTTCTACTTTTTCTCTCTTTTGTTTGATTGTAAATTTAACAACTTTTTTCTTGTTTGTTTTGAGCTGTTGTTGGAATAAAACAGAAATCTGAAGATCTCACTTTGGGCTGTGGAAACTCATGATGCACATTTTTCATTATTATCTGACGTTTTAGAAACTAAACAGTTTCAATCAATAATAGAAAACACAGTAACTTCCCTAAAATGAAATATGATGAACATGCACAGTTGTGGCAGATATCTTCTATCAGGAGCTGCAAAATGTGAATTATGACACATATTTATAGTATTTTCATCGTGGACTAATCTGTTTGGTTTATATCATGTCAGAAAATGGTGAAAAATGTCCATTATGATTTTTCTGCAGCCTAAGATGATGCCTTCAAATGTCTTGTTTTGTCTCATACCACCACAGTATTCAGTTTCCTGTAATAAGTGACACAGAAAAAAGAAATGCAGAAAAACAAAAACGATAAAAGTTTTATCTACAGAAGTCGATCACATTTGAATTCCCTCTTTTGTCTTTGCAGCGCTCCACTGACACCTGAGGAACAAGGTACGACACAAACACGTTCTTGTTTAAAAAAAACAAAAAAACAAACTGGTTTGCAGTAGTGATTTAGGACGTGTTATCATCACTCTGGAAACTAAAACATTATTTCCTTGGGAGTAAGTTGCACTTATACAGTTACAGTAGTGACAAGTGATTAGACAGGCCCAATGAAAGGCAGCTGCTTCAGCCTCCAGTTGAATGGTCTTCCCCTTGAATACAGTCTCATCTCCCTGAGGGCTTTGCAGATGTTGGCAGATAATGGGGGTTTTGAAAGTTAATAAGAAAACGTCCTCTCAAGTTCCCCAGAAACTGGTCCCGGAGCAGCGTGAGGGTGTGAGTTGTGGCCTGTTTACATTTGTCTCATGTCAACAGCGAGTCTGTTGTTATTCCTGGTACTCTCCGGCTTAATGAAGCTGTGCTTCCTCATCATCACCTACATGTCTTAACATGTCTTTGTTTGTCCACTTTCAGTTTTTGTCATCACCTCCAACAACAAAGACCACTCTCAAACACTTACACTCCCCCTGCTGTATCTGACTAATACACTTCATGTCACCTAAATTTATTTTAATTTTAATTTATTTACAAAGCAGTAAAAGACTTATAAATAGTCTTCAGTTTGCTGAAATGAAAATGACTCATAAAAACACAGAAGTGACCAAGTCTGACTTTAGAAACAACACACCCACAGTCCATCACTTCAATATGATAAAACATTTCTCTTTTCTGTTGGTTCTGACGACAAATCACTTGTTTTCATCCTGAAATCCTGGACTATATATATATATATATATATATATAAAAACACAACAAACACAAATGCAGATACTACAGGTAAACAGGAGGCAAAACAGAGACAGGTATGTTTGTTTGCAAGTATTTTTAGTTCTGCTATTGAGGCCAAGTCGACATGTCAAGGGCCAAAGAAACAAGGAAGTAACCTCAGCTTTAATCGGACTGAGTGAATCTCAGGCAGCCGGTGGGTTTATGAGAAAATGAAACAGAAAGTTAAAGTGCCCCTGCACAAACACCGAGGGAAAGCACTTAATTATTTTTATTGTCTCTCTTTCATCTTGAAAACAATCACTTGTCACTTCACACACACACACAAACACACCAGGCACAAAGATACAGGCAACGGACTACAGTGCTCACACCAAGCAGCACACGAGCACACAGCCGGAACCAGTCACATGATGATTTTTCTGTCTTCTTTGTGTCCACAGCTTTGTTGACAGCTGCCAGTTCTGGAGATCTGTCTATGGTAAAGTTCAGTCACACTCAGACACAAAAGCACAAACACACACACACACACACACACACACACACACACTGTCAAGGAATGTGTGATCAAAACCAGTCTCACCAGTTTGTGTCTGCTGCGTTCCACTGGCTCAGTTAAACGGTCTTTGGGTCGTTTGATGTGTCAGACTGTTTATCTCCGTCATAATCTCATTAGAAAACAGCAGGTAGTTGCACGAAGTCAGTTGATTACATCTCTAAACGCTCAGTGTCTTAAATCTTTTTACTGCAGAGAACTGTGGGACTTCACATTTCAGAGCTCGTTTCTTTATAACAATCGACCGCAGACGTTAGAGTCTGATAATTCCTGCAATCGCTCTTAAAATTTTACATTTAAACGTCCCATATGTCACATTCTCCGGTGTTTTATTTTGAAGTGTTGATCCATAAGAAGATATATTTGTGGTTTTAAGAACCAAAAACCGTCTCAGTGTAGTTTTATATCTCCTCTCTCAGGCTTCTCTCTGGAGCTCTACCAACAACAGGACGGTGAGCCAATCAGAAGAGAGGAGGCTCTGAGCCTCTCTTCTGATTGGCTGACTGTTTTCTTAGTAATCAAATAAAAATATAGCAGTTTTCAGGTAAAAACACTCAGAGAAACCAAATCCTTCAAGGTTTGGATGATGGGTCCAGGTGGGCGGGGCTTGGCGCATGGCTAAGGGAGGTTGTGACATCACAAAGTTCCAGAAGTCCTGACGGCTGGTTTTAAGGCTCAGTTTCTGAATACAGGCTGTGTGCATTTCTCTGTGGACTGAGGCTTTGATACTTTCACAGTATTAATATAGAACCTAGACCTGATCTATAATCAATAGAGACAGAATGGGACCTTTAAAGCCCGACCCGAACCCAGCAGGCGGACCTGACCCGAGTCTGACGCAGTTACTCTGGCACCTTTAACAAAACAAAGATCATCACTTTAATTACTTGTAAATCCTAATCCGCCTCTCAGTGGATGTTTCTTCAGTTCACCTTCTTTTCTCTGTCCATCTCTCCAGCTGTCGGAGTGTGTGCGTCGAGGCGTCAGCTTGTTGGTCCGAGACTCTGGAGGTTGTTCGGTGTTGCATATATCCGCCCAGAACGGACACTCAGACCTGGTCAGCTACATCGTGCAGCAGGGTGAGAGTGTGCATGATGTGCACTTGTGAAAACGTGTGGAATTATTTTAAAGGTGCTGTATGTAGCATGTTAAATAAATAACCCCCCAGCAGCATCCCGAATCTTGTCTTTCAAGATTTGCACAAAACAGGAAGTGAGTGTTGATTTTCAGTAGAAAATCACCTCTAACGTCTTGAAAGTTTAACTCTTTAAAAGGTCAGGCATGGTTGAAGTGTTGAAACCTGTGTTTACTGGTGGTGACAGCGATTGCAGTTTGATATTTCAGCAGACTCAGCAGAGGAGCAGCTGGTGAATCTGTTTACAGTGCAGCCAAACAAACTGGACGTTGTTTTTAATAAAGGAGTCTGTCAATAAAAACACAAACTTCGATCTCGTTTCATGCTGCAAACATCAGAGCAGAGTGAAGCTGGTTATGTTTCAGCTGCTGCTCCTTGCTCCACTTCCCTCTGCAATATTTTAAAACGGCCGCAGGAAAACCACCAACAGAAAAACCCTGGCTGACGAACCAGCTGTGTTTCCTGTGGCTTCTTCTGCCGCCGCCGCCGAAGACCACTGTGTGGAGCTCACCACAGTGTGTCAATACATTAATAGCTATTAATGTTAAGTATTATATATGTTTAAATGTGTTTATTTTCTTTATCAAAGGGACCTACAAATGCCACTAACAATATCACACGGTTCTCTTTTGTAATTTACTTTCAAGAGCATGGAAACGGTGCAGCACTGGTTTATAAAGATGCAACATTATGCACCTTTAAATTTTATTTACACAATAAAACAAGTAAACAATCATTATGTCCTAAGATGAATAAATGTGCTATAAAATACATAATATAATATATTAAAATAATAAACTAAAATCTAATAAAATAAATGTTTTCTTCTTCTTCTCTTTCTCCATCTTCAGGCTCCAAAGTGCTTCTGGATTTGACAGACAGAGAGAAGTATGTCGGCTTCTTTTAAATCAGTAGTAGTAGTTCTCTGTGGGAAAACTTAACGCATGTATGTACGTTGTTTGTTTTTTTTAATAATAGTGTGATGTCGACGAAACAACAACAAAAACCTCAGACGCTTACCATGTGGTGTTTCGTTTTTGCTGTCAGCTTCCTTTTTACGTCAGTGTGGTCAATGGTTCAGTGATTGACAAAGCTTATCTGATCACACCTGCCTTTCTTTGTGTGTGTGTGCGTGTGTGTGTGTGTAGAGGCGACACTGCCTTGCACAAAGCAGCCTGTGAGAAGCAGCATGCAGTGTGCCGGCTGCTGGTCGAGGCCGGGGCGTCTCTTGAGAAGACCAACTTCCAGGTAAAATCACACTTTCACACATTTACATTACACACATACACACACACTGTAAACATCCATTTGTCCTGCTGAGTCATGCGAGAAACCACTGTGACATGTAAATGATTTACAGAGAAATTGGTCCACCAGCGTCCAGGAGGGTGCATCTCTGTCTCTGTCTCTGTTTTATTTTGTACACAGGTTCAAACCTCATCTATTGGCGGGAAACAGGATTTTTAAAGTTTGCAGGCAAAATAAAATATATGAATAATTTAATTGTTATTAATTTAAATGAATTGAAATTATTATTAATTTAAATGATAATATCAGACTGGACTGTATCTGTCTCATACACTGACTTACCAGTTTGATTGGTGCCTTCAACTCCGTGGTCATTTTAACGCCTCCACGTCCCGTTGCACTGAACCTGATACCTCAGTAACACCTCGAGGGAGTTTCTTCACACTTGCAACAAACATACACTCGGACTCAAAGTCACAGTGACCTCACAAAACACAATTATTTGGCCATAACTCACACATTCATACACAAATTATGACACAGTTCTAATTTTCTAATGGGATTCATTGTTGTAACTCAGGAAGTTGAGGCTGTGACCACATTTCCTGCAACTTGTCTGGTTGGCGGAGGGATACAGTCACGAGATGGTGATTCTAGTTCAGTTTGTAGTTGTATGTATTTTAATGACAGGCCCGACTTTACAGCTGAAACTGTCTGTTGGTTGGACTAATCAATTAAATACGTGTGTGTGTGTGTGTCCACCAGGGGAAGACACCGGCAGACCAAGCGGAGGGAGACTCGGAGCTCGCCACCTACCTGAGCGCCCAACAGAACACGTCTTCTACCACCCAGGAAGACTTGGAGACGGCAGTCTGAGGCGCACACACACACACACACACACACACACACACACACACACGCACACGCACACACACAGTCTCACACACACACAGACACACACACACACCCGATCTATCAGTCTCTCTGGACTCTGAGAGAAAAGCGTTGAAAGAATGAACAGAGTCTGGCTCTGACTCGGCGTCTCGACAGACGAACCGGACGAACCGGAGCAGCGACGAACTGCTTCAGCTCGCAGCAGCACTGCAGTGGAGATTTTAATGCTCAGCTATTTATTTGTATTTATTTATTCATATTCTATTTATTGGTTGTGCTGATTGATTGACTGAGTGATCGATTGTAGGACCATTAGCGGCTCAGGATGCGGGTGCACTTTGAGCAGCCGCCGCGGGTCGAGAGTTCACTTGCTGAAGGGATTTATTTTGCTCATGAATCGTGGGGGTCAGTCAGACTTCCACAGTGGTCGACCGTGTGTTGATTATGCATTTAAATATACAAATAACATAAAGGCTCACTTCAGAACTGATAGTAATAGTAATAGAAATATTTGGGTTTATGTGTTTACCCCATAAAACCTGTGTGCCAAAGACATTGCACTGATGTAGTGTCACGCCGAGTCCACACCGTCACTAAACGCTCCGTCGCGTCGTTCGGTTTCTCTCATGAACCGAAGCTGTAAACCTGCATCTCTTAACGCCAACTTATGCAACGATCACATTCTGGTTTCATTCAGCATCGTCACTGCTCAGAGCTCTGATGTCATCACAAACTAGAAGTCCCGATTATTCCAGCAGCTGCTTTTGAAACCACAAGTCCAAATCAAGAAACAACACACACAAAACAAATACAGGAAACTTCAGGATCTCAGGTGGTTTCAGAAAGTCCCCGCTCTGAGGGGGACCTACCTTCCAACTGCCCGGCAACTGTGAGGGTGGAGTCTCTGATTGTCTTTGGGACAATGAAGTTAAGGCTTTGTTTATGCAGAGGAAAGTAAAGTAAACATACCTTCACACACACACACAACACTGGTGTGGTCACTCTTCCTTTCTACTGTCACAAACCAGTAAATCAGAGAGAACGGCGACTTTAAAGCGCCTCCATGTTCGGTGGAGGAGTTTGAAGACTTTGCTGTTGCTGCGTTTTCATACATAAAGATGAAGTTGAAAACACTTGTCACCTCTGGTGCATCAGTTCACGCTTCACAGCTTTAGACGCAGTAGAAAAGGAGAGAACAACACCAGGAAGTGACCTGAAAGTTCCCTTCAGTGGGAAACGGCTAACAGCTGCCTGTTTTTAAAGGCTGTCGAAGCCAGATCTGTAAAGATATTATGATCCATTAACCAGATTTTAATTAGATTTTGCGTCGAAAGTCCTTTTTTTTATAAAACCCATTAACGCAAAACACACACTAAATTTAAAAAATTCAAATTACACAAAATTCTTTTCATAGTGGGAAAAAAACTGATTGAAATAGTGAATGTGTCATTAAAAGGGATATTTTAGGAGAGATACACACTGAATATAATGAAATTACATATGAAATAATCAAATTGAATCACTGCATCAAATCAAATTTTTACAAAAACTTCCTTTCAATTACAGCTTATTCTAAATCCTTTAATTTGGACAACAGGTTTTTTATTGACTCCTGACCCTCATTACATTGTATGGAGCACAAACAATATACAAGAATGACAATAACATACAAGAACATGATTAATCACAATAAAGCGCCACCGAAAGTCAAGAAATTATATTGAATAATTGGACTATTCTGAACGATTTTAACAGTTGATCGATTCTTTTGTCGTTTTTTTATTGTAAAATTCTCTGGTTTCAGAAATGTGAATATTTCCTGATTTCTTAGTTTTATATAATTTGCAAATTATTTGGGTTGTTGGACTGTTCGCTAAAACAGAAAGAGACGTATGAAGACGACAGCTTTGGCTTTGGGTAAATATGTAACATATTTTTAGACCAAACAATGAATCAATTAATCCAGAGAATAATCATCCATCAGCTGATAATGAAAGTTAGACTTAAATTTGATTTACAAGATTTTAAATTCAGTCCAAATGTTAAAACAAGGCAGGAAGTCGCTGAATCGAATCACTGACGGGAGCAGATCTGATTGTTGGGAGAGGACCAGTATCAGCCCATTAAAACCAGCACATTACTCTGCAGCCATAAACCCCCGTACACGCAGGTGTTCGACAAACTTTAGCAAGTGCAGCCGCTTGATTTTGGAGAACAGACCAGACTGTGTTAAAAAAAAGAAGAAAAAAAAAAAAGGGTATTTAAGCATAATCAATAATCAATACACCTGTTCATTTCACACAAAAAATATTTAAACTGTGCGTGTATCTGGTACTCCTGACCCGACAAGGCTTTTCACATGCAGCTTGTGTGTGTGTGTGTGTGTGTGTGTGTGTGTGTGTGTGTGTGTGTGTGTGTGTGTGTGTGTGTGTGTGTGTGAGTGTGTGTGAGAGATAACATGTCCCATTCCATATCAAATCTAAAAAGAGACGCACGTACACCTGCAACAGAAAGAGACTTCACTCCGATCTGTGCAGCATGTACATAACTACAGACTGTGTTCGTTATGTGTGTGTGTGTGTGTGTGTGTGTGTGTGTGTGTGTGTGTGTTTGCAGCACTTATCCAAGAAGAAAATAAAAATCTGAGCCATATTCAATGCAATATGAATGGATGACGTCTTTTTGCATTTCTCTATTAATCGTTTACATTACATTAATGTTTTTAACATAGTCGACCATTTAGCACCGAGGACTAATGAATGTGCAATTTTACTTCAGTGCTGGTTGGTTTATGATTGTCTTGTTATTTTTGTTTTATTTCTTTTCTTTTGTGCGCATGTATGTCAATGGACTGAACTTTGAAACAACCCTGTGAGCTCTCTTTAGATATAACCTGTTGTAAACTAAATTGATATACACCGTAGGAACCGCTTTCCCGAGGTATTTGTGGGGGACCTTGAATATTTTAAAGACTTGACGTGTAGCCATCGTAGAAGTCTGGCTTTTAAACTTCACCGCACATGTTTTAAACCCGTTTTCAGCTGCTGCAAAGATTCATAGTATAAATCATCTTAAATCACTGGTTTTAAGGCTCAGTGTCTGAATACAGGCTGTGTGCATTTCTCTGTGGACTGAGGCTTTGATACTTTCACAGTATTAATATAGAACCTAGACCTGATCTATAATCAAACAACACACGGACAGAGACCTTTAGACTGTTAGGGACCTTTAAGGATTATTTTCAAGGTGAAACCCTAACCTTTGATTCTTCAGTATTTATAACTGTGTATTCTTATTTAATGTCTTGTAAAAGTATAAACGTGACAACTTGTCCTGGTTAGAGCTGTGTAACTTTTCAAAACTACTGCTGATGGTGACATACCAGAGTGTGACTCTGGGAAATGTAAACGCTGTATGTTTTCCTATAAACCACCTTTTCATTTCATGAGAAGAAGCCAAACTTATCAAATGTTAGATATTGTCCAAACATACGCACTTTTTTTGCCTCATTTAAAGGGACATCGTCATGGTTAGTGTTTCTCTGCCTGTTGAGGAACTTCCCTGTCAAAGTTATTTCTTGTTTTGTTTTTTTTTTAAATAAATATCCGTGATGCAGGACTTCTACGATGGCTGCCGCCGTCAGCATCCAGCGCTCAGAGCTTCCTCTCAGTGTCTGGACACAAAAATGTGTGTAAATGAAAAATCCTTGAACTGAACTACCTGTGAACGGTGACGACATTTTCTATGAAGTGACTGTGGTAATAAGCTAGGCCCGACACACACACACACACACACACACACACACGCTTCTTATCACTCTTTCTATTCAGTAGAAACATGAATTTGTATGAAATTGTGTCTCTCATCAGCGTTGGTTATGCATGACATTTTCTTACATCCTTGGGATTATTTTCTGGTAATATAAAAAAATGGCATTATTGTTGTTTAAACTATTAAATTATTATAGTTTTAAATGAGTTTTACCTGAGTTTCTTCTTAGGTTGTGTTTGTTCTTTTGCTTTTGTACATTTCTTTTATTTTCCTGCCACATGATGATGACGATGATGATGATGATGATGATGATGGGATTACTTGAAGTTTGTTGTTTTATTTTCTTCATCTGTTAAAAGAACATATGACGCTGTAGTTGTTGCCTCTGATGTTATTTCCTGGTTGAACGGTTGTTGAGGAAACTCCCCTCAGGAAAGTCACTGAGCTGTTTCTCCTTTTTGAACAAAAGCCATCATTCTACACCGGCAGCCAGCTCACATCATGAAGACGTAGCTTCTTCCCGTAGACTTTATGAAAACTTGACTCCAAACTAGAAATGTTCCAAACAGTTCCTCCGGGGAACACGAACGTCTGAACCAAACTTCACGGCAGTTTAATCCAATTCATTTTGGTGAGAGGTCACCACAGTCAGAATGATTCATCCTCCGGGGAACACGAACGTCTGAACCAAATTTTATTGACAATCCATCCAGTAGTTGTTGAGATATTTCAGATTGGACCGAAGTGGTTGATCGACTGACAGACACTTCTACTGGGCTGAAAGTATTTAGCACTTAGCATTAAAAACATACTTCACTCATATCCAATTCAACTTTTGTTTTTTAATTTACATCCACTAACATTCTTGTTTGTCATCATCACTTTGGTCACGATCAGTTATTGACAAAAAAAAGCTGCACCAAAAACATCCAATCACAAGAATTTAAATTCAGTTTTGAATTCATTAAAGATGAATCTGCTGCTGTGAGTTTAAAAAAATAATAAATAAAAATAACAGTGTTTGTTTTACTGAACCTGAAGCACCAGGCGGGTGGAGTTAAGTCCATCCGAGCAGTTTTAACTGTCGGGGAAATTGATGCTGAAATTTTAAATTAATTTCAATACTCTCTGATTACTTCATTTCAGAATGAAAATTATATTTGAATGATACATTTACCTGATTATAATAATAGTTTTGTCTCAGTTTTTATCATATACTTTTGGTATTTTATCTTGACTCTAAATTTAACTGCATGGGAAGTCAACACAGAAATTTAAAATCAGTTTTGACACTTTCATGCGTCTTCAAACTATGAAAATGATCTTAAACAAGGATTTTAACCAAATAAACTAGTAGTTTCTATCCTCCCATCGCACTGATGTAATATTTTACTTTGGGATGTTACTTCTATATGAGCATTTCACCCACCTTTAGTTATACAGAAAGTTATATGAGTATGTTATATCGATAGATTTGACTCTTGTAAATGGCAGAAGTAATTTTGAGGTTCAATGTTCAGCAGAGGAAACTGACATCTTAAACTAACATTGTGTTATAGGTTTTGAAGAGGTAAAATTAGCTTTATCTTTGTTTTAAAAAGGTTTGAATCTGTACATCAGCACATCTTACTTAAAGCACTTAAAACTTACTGTGTTTCTTAATATCAAAGTCCTCTAAATAACATAAATCACATTTGTCTCCAGTGTCCACAGACTGTAAAGGTCACCTCTGTTAATCATTCTCTCAGTACTGCAGGGTGTGGACTTATTTTATCGTGTAATCTTAGAATCAAAATGCTTTTATTTCTCCAACAAGCAGTGACTTGTGAGATATGAGACTCTACTGCCATTAGAAACAGTTCTATTAGTCTTCCACACATTCCTTGTTTAATATTTCAGTACTCGTGATATTTTTGGATTATTAAGATCAGAATATCAGGAAGGGTTCACCATTTCCTGATCGCTTTGCCCTTTGATGTTCAGCCTTAAGAGGATGTGAAAAGTCACCTGGACTCCTGTGTAAAACACACAGGAGACTGTGAGACTTCTCTGGTGCTTGTAAAGGTAAATATACAACCTGAGTCACAGCTGGGAGTTTCCTACAGGGATCACATGCCTGTGGTTGAAGCATTTATCTCAGTGCGAGGTCCAATCAGCCGCTGCTCTGGACTTTTCAGACACACATTTTCACATTTATCGGAACAGAGCTGAGTTTTCTCTGAATATTTCTTCCTCATGTTGGTTCAGAAATCAAAATTAAAAGTTCATTGTTGAGGTCTGAAGCATCAGAAACAAAGTCCAAGATTTCGCAACATGATCAAAAGCCCCAGAACTGTGACTAAATGGAGGTAGTGGTTTAATTGTTTTCTCATCTGCCACAGTTACACATTATAAACTACTGGAACAGGTTAAACTGGTTTTATGTTGTCAGTAAAATGAGTCTAAAAACAGAGTCAAACAGTTCAGACATGTTGAACCTGATAAAGTGAGAAAAGTCACTGAAACTGAAAGAAAATAGCTAATTTTACATATTTTTTAAGTTTACAGGGTTGTATGGAAGCCTGTTTATGTTGGTAAAAGAAAAAAAATAGTCATGATTAAAAATAAAATGCTCTTGATGAGTAAAAATGTTTCAATCTCATAATTTAGATTTTTTTTTGTCGTAATTTTGACCCTGTATCTCATAAATTTGACTTTCTGTCTCATACTTTTGACCATGTCTCATGGTTGATTTTTTTTTGTTTAGTTTTTTTTATCACAATTATTTATTTATTATTTATTTATCTATTTATTATTCACAACATGTATGTTTCAGAATTGGACAGAAATGTTTTTGTCTGGAAGAAAACGTCACTTCATATTCTTATCACCACCATCCCTGTTTCCTCTTTCTGACCTGTCATTCAAAACAACAGCAAGTTTAGTTTTCTGCCTTTTTCCATCACAGAGACATTCTGGATGTTTCTGTCGCTCTTTTTCTTGTGACTTTGCACTTTTGTGGACTTTAAAATGTTCATGGGAAGACAATAAAATCATGTATATAAATCTGAGGTGATGACTAAAGCATGCCAGGCTGTACAGTTGTAACAACGTTTGAGTAACCTTATTATTTTAGAAAAAATAAAGTTAATAAAAACAACTTTTATTTGCTTTGTCACTGTCAGTTTCACTTTCAGTTTGAAAACTGAAATGCTTGAAAAACTTAATAATAATTAAAAAAAAAAAAAAGTGTTTTCGGTTTTGTTAAAGTGACTCTCTCTTTAACTCTTTACTCTTGTTGTGGTTACATTTCGATTCAGCATTTTATTTTTTTTATTTTTTCGTCTCTGGTTATTTTCTGCGATTGCGTCATTACGCATGACGTACGCCCAAGACGAGGAACGCCTGTTTAAATTGGCTGCTTATAGGGAAGTAGTTCAACAAATGAAAAAGTAGCCGCTTAACCACTCATCACCGTTGTTCTTCTTTTTTTGACCATTTGGACCGTAAGTAAACATGTTTTTATGTTTCAAAATATTTTTACACAGGAAGGCATTAAAAGGTCGTGTAAAAGATTTTTATTTTTCGTAGTTTTTTGACGGTTACTAAAGCTGCCAAAAGTTGAATTAAGCTAGTTAACGACAAAACCAACCGT